AAGCTCACTTTGTACCCTGAGTGAGCCAATTCTGCCCATTTCTTTGTGATGAGCTAGGAAAGAATAAGTAGGAATACTTGGAAATACAACAGAAAAGAGCTCTGGGAATTATTTAATCTAACACCGAAGTCCTGAGCACTAGCTGGTATTGTTTCCCCCATCTCTGAGCTTCTTAACTGCTCTGCTAGACACTTCCGGGAGAGCTCCTCACCATGAGAGGTGAGAGGCACCTGTTCTGTTCCTGGGTAGCTCTGCTGGCTAGAAAAGGCCTTCTGGCCACATTGCGGTGACACAGAATAATAAGTGGTTCATGATAAGGTGATGTAAACATGTCTCCAGAATTCTCTGATACTGCTCCCTTCAAAAGGTAGAGACTAATTCCACTCCATTTGAGCAGAAGCTATGCCTGGTGACACTTCTAACAAAGAGAATATGGTAGAAGAGCCTCTGGGTGATTTCCAAGGCTGGGTCATAAAAGATATCAGAGGCTTTCTTCTTCCTCTGCCTTGGATGGCTCACTCTAGGAAAAGTTAGCTAGCCAAAATACCCCTGGATTCCTGGTCCTCAGAAACTTTGAGCAGATACATGTTTATTCTTGTTTTACAGGACCCTGAGGCTGTGTCACTAAATTTTGGAATAATTTGTTACACAGCTATAGATAGCAGATACATTCATACACAAGGTTGGGATTTTTAAAAATCATCTAATCAGGAAAAACAAGAAAATGTAATATACTTCTTTTAGCTTCTCTTCAAAGCATGAAGCACAGCCACTGACAGATATTGGGAGGAAAAGTGGGAAATCAGACAACATCCTACAGGCATTGAACATTTCTGGGGGAGGGCAGGGGCCATGTTTGTAGGCCTTCCCTGTTTTGAGGGGCGAGGGCTACAGGCAGCTGAGTTGGGAGTTGGGAGGGCAAATGAAGCCAGCAGAGTCCTCTTTGGCTATGGCATTGGATCAGTGGGGCTACAGACACCCCACCTTTGAAGTCTGCTCCTGAGGACCACAGGGCCCCTTCTTTCCATCCATAAGTGCAGCCAGGGTCAAAGTCCCAACCTAGTACTGCCACCAACCTGACCTGTTTCCTCAGGCAGGTCCCATCCTTTCTCTGGTCATCAGTTTCCCCACCTGTAAAAGGAGGCTGGGCCAGACATCTTCTCAGTGCCCTACAGTCCCCACACAGGGCCCCCTCAGTCTTCCTACCCCCTCTGGGTGTCAGCGCAACTTCAGGGGCAACAGAACATTGCCTGGAGATAAAGAGGCGGGTAGAGTAAACAAACAGCCTCAGAATCCCAGTTCCCAAGTCCCAGCCTGTGGCCAAGCCAGCCTGCCAGGCTCCATGTCACCCAGGGTAGAACTCCCCAAGTCCCTTTCTTTGGCCGTATAAGGAGAAATGCAGACAGAGTCTCCCTGACACAGGTTACAAGCACAAGGATTGAGGCAAAAGCTCTGGCCTCCAAAGACCTCAGTGACTAACCAAGCATGAGGAATAAATCAAATGCCACTCACCACCTCCTCTGTCCCACTCTTCCCTCACCGCAGCCCAGGGCTGGGGCACCAAAGGGAGGCAGCTCTGCCCAGGCCTCCTGGGATACATTGAGAGAGGTGCGGTGGCCATCTTCTGAGTGGGGTCAGCGGGGCTCCTCATTGAGACCCATTTGCTCCTCCTCTCTCCCCACCCCAGGCCCAACTCCAATCTGATGAAGCCTGCAGTGAAGCAGGAGCAGTCCCCATGAGCCCCCTCACCCTGGTGACCATAACGCCCCACTGGTCTCCCAGGCCCTGGCATCTCCTCCCCACCCCAATCTTCTCCCAGACAGCCAGGGACCCAGAGCACAGCCCAGGGCCCACTTTCCCTCAACTGACCCCCTCAGAGCTCTCTGCTCCCTACCGCTGTCCGGTTTTCCTCTAGGGCTGCCAGGAGTCTTGCTTAGGTGGGTGGGCTCTATGGTTCTCCCTACCTTCTCTTTGTTTCCTGCACCCAGGATACCATGATTTCCATTTCATTTTCTGGGACCTTTTTCACCCAAAATGGCTTTACCTCCAACTCTGCCTCCTCCAAGAGGCCCTCCCTGATCCCTGCTCCTGACTGAAGGTGCTGTGGACCTCACACCTGCTGTCTGTGGCTTGCTGGAATACCTGTTGCTGGAGTACAATGCTCCTCTCTGTATCGGCCTTTCCTCCCAGACAGTGTGGGATTCCTGGAGGGCAGAGCTGGAGCCTCCCTCACACACACAGCCCAACACCACCAGGCAAAAGGGACAGATGAGAAAAGCCAAGGCAGGCCACACAACGCAACAGCTGTTTCAGAAGCTCAGGCACTGTGCGTGGACTTCGGAGTCTCACAGACCTGGGTTTGAATCTGCCTCTGTTGCTTACTAACCATGTGAGCTTGGGCAGGTCGCATAGCCCACTTGGTACAGTTCCCTCCTCTACTCACTTACAGAGTCTTTGTGAACATGAAAGGAGACCATGGACACAGCACCCAGTGTGGTTCCTGGCTTATAGCACCTGCTTAGTAATTAGTCCTTAAAGGGGAGCTCCCTCCATTATCCTTGGAATAATTCTAAAAGTCACCAGCCTTGGAATTTACATCTATTATCTCCTTAGGAGTAGATTTTTATTATTCTCATTTTACAAGTGGGGAAACTGAGCCACAGGGAAATGAATGTTCCTGCACCAGGTGTTCAGCCTAGGGAAGATCAGCATTAGCTCTATTGTGGACCTTGGAGGGACAGCAGCAATAGGCAAGGTGGGCAACTGCCACCCCAGTGACCCAAGGTGAGGGCTGTCATCTTTGCCTAACTTCTGCCCTGGGAGTCAGGTTTCAGCTGACTCTGATCCCTGATCCCTGCAAGGCCAAACCCTGGAGTCACATGGGTCACCCAGCCTAGGCTTGGTCCAGGGCTGCCTGCTACATGCCTTTGTTCCATCTGCTCTGCTGCTGCTGCTTCCAGTAGAGCAGAGTCAGCAACGACCAGGGGAGGGGCAGAAGGGCAGGGGTGGGGAGGGGCAGAAGGGCAGGGGTGGGGAGGGGCAGAGGGGAGGGGTGGGGAGGCGCTGGGGACGGTGAAGCAGAGCCAAGGCCACTGGCAGGCAGGAGATGCCAGGGGTTCAATGCAGCGAGTTCATACTACCCGGATGTTGCTGGCTCGTGTGGCCTCTAAATAGGAGCTAGGAAAATGTGCCCTCTCAGGGTGAACAAAGCCCCACACTGAGGCGCACAGCTGGGAAAGTAAACTGTGCACTGCATTTTCCTCTGCCGCCTCATTGCGCAGTGAACAATATGCACAACCATTCGGGGCGACCTCGCTTACATAGCGGCCCTGCAGGGCCAGGTCCTGAGCCGGACACTGGATAGGGAGCTAACTCAGACATAACACCAGGAAGCTGAGGTGCTGGGGAACAGAGCAGGGCGCACCTAGCTATCTCAGGGCAGAGGTTGGAGGAGCTGTGAAGGCTATAGGCATAGGCAGTGGTCCATGGCCTCAACCCTCCCCCAAAGCCTGCTATACAGTGTTTGCCAGTTTTCACAGTGCAAATATTCCCACCCACCAGAGTGCTTTCAAGATGCAAACATGCCATCACTGCACACAGAAGCTGGAGACGGTGCAATCAATCCTTGCAAGCTGGTTCCAGGTGCTCCGGAACACTACTGGGAAAGGGAGCCTTCCGCTGAACCCCGAGGAAAAGGGGCTTTCTCCAGGCAGGGAGGAGGACGGGGACAGAAAGGACATTCCAGGAGGCAGACAGCATGGAGGGAGGAACAGGGGTGGGGGCAGGTCGTGGAGAGTTGCAAAAGGGTTATAATTGGCAGAAGGCAGTCAAAGCCTTCTGGAAGCCGGTAGGGTTTAGTTCTTGACCTGGATGAGGTTCACACGCCTGCTGTGATTTGTTAAGCTACGCATGTACAGTTTATGCACTCATCTGCCCAGGTGCCATGTTTTACAATAAAAAAGCTTTAAAGTACTGATAATCTCACTCAGGTGTGTTACCACTGTTTATAATTGTATATTTCCTTCCAATCTTTTTGTATATTTATACAACTATACAACCAAAAGTTTCAATAGGGAAAACATCCTGGGTTCCCTATCCAGAAAGAAGAAAGCATTTTAATGTCGGAAGCAACATGTGGTAGCGGAAGGAATGTGGGTTTTGGAGTTCAAGAGACCTGGATTTAAATCCTGCTTCCTAAGTGCTAAATCTGTGACCCTGGGAAAGTTGCCTGCCTCAGCCTCTGTGGGTGGCTGCCTCTCTTGCACACGGACACTGATCAGACCTGCATCCTGCAGTGCTGTTGTGAAGATCAGAAATGATGACTTCAGGGTGTACGGCACAGAGCCAGCCCACAGCAGGCTCTCAACCATGCCACGTACAAGTCCCTGTCCCAGACGACTATTGTGATTAACATCCTCTTCGGAAGTCAGGACTGAAAGAATTGCCCAAAGATAAATAACTGAACTGCAGTAATCAGAGAGAGACGGTAACTCCAGGCAGTAACAGATAAAGGCAGACTAGAGTTTGACCAGAGTAACCTCGGTGGAAAGGAGTTTCTAAAGCTCCACTGAGTGAGGGTAGCTGAAGAAAATGGGAATAGTTAGCCTAGGGAAGGGGAATCCAGGGGAATTCTCATTCCTATGAGCTGTCCTGGTGGCAGCAGGAAATGGAACTAAGACAAACAAACAGAACTTACAAAGGGAGATGATTTACACTGGGTCTAAGGGTTGATATTCTCAAAGCTTGAGAGTGAAGCAGTGATGTTGATAAGGCGTGAGCTCCCTATCACTAGGGAACACGAGAAGTCGCTGGCAGAGCACGTGGTGGGGATGAGAAGGAAAGGAGGCAGCAGGGTGGAGGGTGGGAACTGGATAACCTTGAAGGTCCCTTATGGCTGGGCTCTGGAGCTTCTGTAATCAGCGTTGTCTGTTCTGATGGGCAAGAGCGGGATGGTGTGCAGCATGTGGTAAAGGACACAAGGATGCCCTTGTCCGTCTTACCTGGTTATCGATTTTCAGTTCCACCAAGGATGTGTTGTGCGGAAGGGCTTCCACCAGGCGCAGGATCCCAGCTCCGGAAATGAAGTTGGATTCCACATTCAGTGTCTTCAGCACCTTGTTCACCTTGAGCATTTCAGCAAGGGCCTTAACCACAGAAGAAAGGTGGGGATGCCTGTGAGCCCTCCCGGGTAGATCCACAGATGCCAATGGCAAGAGGCAAGATGATCTCTAGAGCTTCCTTCACAAGAATGATTCTGTGTCTCTCCTCCCCTCCAAGCCACCCCGGTTCCTGAACACCCACTCTGGAGAAGTCTGTACTGCCTCACTCGCATCTATCAGTGTTCACTGGGCCCTGTCAGTGAGGCTGCTTGCAGTTCCTGCTCATGACCTGCGCTCTCCCACCCCTTACCTTCGCCTGCTCCATCCTTGCCCTCTGCAACACCCCTTGTGTTCACTCTCAAAACCTGCCCATCCTTCAGTATCGTTCTCAATACCCTCTTCCCCAGGAGCATTTGATGACACCCTCAGCTGGCTGAGGCTGCTCTTGAACCTCGCAGAATTTATCTACAACTGCCTCCACAACTCGCATTCCTTTTGTTTTTGGTTCAGTTTTGTTTTTATTTTGGCACTGGGAATCAAACCAGGGTCTCTGCCACTGAGCTGTAGCCCTAGCCCTTTTTATTTTTTATTTTGAGACAAGATTTCCCTAAGTTGCCCAGGCTGGCCTTGAATTTGTGGTCATGCTGCCTCAGCTTCCCAATTAGCTGAGATTATAGGTGTGTGCTACCACATCTGGCCACAGTTGCTTTTATGAATGTGTATCTTTCCCTTAGACTATTTTCCCATGCTGAGCTAAAAAGTCACCTTAATATCCCGTGTTGCCACAGGGCCTACACAGTGCCCAGCACACAGTCAATCCTCAGGCAATGGTCACTGAAAGACCCGCAGAGTCGCAACTCCTCTGTGTGTGCTGGGCTCATCTCTTCTACTGTCCTGTTGAAGTGCCACAGAGTCACCATTTTCTTCATATGAGCACCAGAGAGCAGAAGTGGTGCTGGGAAACCACCTCACTGGGCCAGCAAAAGACCAGGGCTAGCTGGAAGAGAGAGCTCAGGTGGCCCTCAGCATGTTTCAGAGGGATTCAGCCAGGGGGTATAGATGACAATCAGAGCCTCTGACGGAAATGAGGTAATTAGCAGTTGGTGGAAATGATGTGTCGTGGGGAAAGAAGACACCCGCAGCCGAGTGGCCCAGGACAGTGATAGGTGGGCCCTGTTGTCTGGCGTGACTCTGAGCCAGCAATGCCTGCTGTATTGTGTTGCTCCCACGTGCTGACTGCGAAGGTCCAGATGCCCAGAAGCCTTCTGTGCCAAAGTTATCACCCCTCCTGGACTTCCCACTGCAGTGTGCCCTGAATAGTGTGTCAGCTTGCCTTATGACCAGGCCTGCCTTCTGAGGAGGTGCTGGGGGGCCCTGTCTGTGTCCTCTCTGTGGCTCCACAGAACTGCCTGGGCCCTAGGAAGGTCTAGCCTGGTCTAACCATCTGAGTACCTAACAACCTGTAGGCCGGTGTCTCAGACTTGGGCCTGGCAGCTGAACAAATGCTAATGGTCCCTTTCCTGCCACATGCTAATTTCTGGCAGTGCAGATCATGGGGGCATAGGGCAGGCAGTGGGGGCACTTACAGAGCCCTGGCAGTAGGTTTAGCCCAGAAACACTTCAGTATTTGGCACTGCATATATGGGTGTGAATGGGCTGATACCAGCCTTCAGCCTGGCACAGAGTCCATATCCAAAAACATTTGTGGCACTGAGCTGAATGCCAGCATGCATGTGCCTGTTTTCTGATCTATCACCTAGCAGTGTGCGGAGCATGTGCCTTTGCCGGCTGCATCACTGTCGGTAAACTCCGGGTGCACTGCAGTCAGGGGTCATGGATCCGGAGGTTCCCCACTAGCAGCAGTGGGAGACTGTAAGCTATTTCTCATTTCAAAAATATTGGAGATAATTCCATCACTTCAAAAATATTGAATAAAATTGTCCCACCTATTTTAAAAATCAGGAAAGAATTTTCTGATTGCTTCTAAATGGTTAATCATCATCCCTGGTGGGGTAATCCCTGTACTTTTTATTTGTCCCTGGCATCAGAGTAATTACACTGTGCTGTTTTCATAGGTGTCCACGTGGCCAAGAGGACCCATGTGTTCATGAACATGGGAGCTGAGACTGGTCACGGTTGGATTCTCAGAGCCTGCCTGGGCCCAGAGACACTCAATAAATGTGCTTTGAAAATTTTTAAGAAAAATTAATGGTTACTTCACAGTAAGTGCAATTTAATTTGACCATCAGTAGCTGTTAAGACATGGGTAAAAAAAATCACATAAAATTGGTCACTGGAATCCATTGATGAAGACAATGATTTTAGAGATGGAGAAACAGAGGCCCAGAAACATAAGTCACTGAGTAGAGTCTGACTGGCCCGTAGGGGTCACGTGATTTCACTGGAATGCCAGCTGTGCCTCTACCTTGCTGTGTGACTTTGGACCAAGCAAGTTGCCTGATCTCTCTGAACTCTAGTTCTTCATGCAGAGTGGGAGACCCACACCTCTGGGAGCAGGGTGGCAGTGAGGATTGGCTGGATGATGATAGGTAGTGTGGGTGATGGCTGTGCATTCACATCCCCTCCTGGCTCCCAGCCTGGTCCTGTCACCACACCACACAGGGCTCTGCAATAGTGGACGCAGCCATGCCTGAGGCCACATGCCTAACCTGTCTGTGTTTATCCCCCTCACCGTCTGCACAGCAGAACAGAGATTACATACAAACGCCACAGGGTCATTGCTCCGTGTCCCAACGATGCTGAATTTCTTCACATAGGAATTTTCTTTCAGGGCTTCTGCATATGCCTTAAGGGTGGGGATGGGGATATTCTGCAGAAAGAAAGGAACAGAGTGACCAGCAGCACCTACCAGGGGTGGAAGAGAGGGCAACCTGGCTCCTCCCCGAGACCTAGCAACTCTCTGGCTTAAAGGCTCAATGGGCTTTGTTCCTGAGGGCTAAGATATGGGGAGAACTTTATGGTACACACACAGAAAATAACATCTGAAATTTTATATAGGACCCACAGCTCTCTTCTGTGCATGTGGAAGGCAAAAAAGAGGCAAAAATCAAGGCATGGAGATAGGAAGAGTGTTGTACAAAGGGCTCAGGATTGGGGGTAGAGGTGGGGCTGGACCCTGGCCTCCACCTCAGCCACTAGCAACATGTCTGTGTTGCTGTGTGACTCTGGGGAACTCTCATTCCTTCTCTGTACCTGTTTCTAGAAAACAGGAGGAGCATTGCAGTAGATACTAAGAGGCATCAAGGCTGAGGTTCTGCCCTGTCTGCAAATCAGCAGGTCCTGGCAACTGCGTGTACCAAGCTGGGGCTCTGGCCTGCCCCAGCCAACAGAACAACCAGTCTCTGAAGTGGGCCTGGACGTTGGTACAGGTGCTTTCTTCTCCTCAAGTGAAAACCACTGATCTGATCCAGCGGCCTCATGGTACAGGAGGGAACTGGCCAAGGCCTCAGAGTGTGGTTCGTGGCCAGAATGCACAATTCTGAATTGTACCAGTGTCTCCCTTGGGCACACGGCAGACAACTGAGGCACAGAGAGGGCCTGGCTGTGTTTTTGCCAAGCTCACATTTCAAAGTGTCACTTAAACTCCCAGGGGAGTAGCGCAGGGGAGCCAGATGGAGGAGAACGCTGGGGAACAGGGTTCCCATCTGATTGAGCCTTGGGACTGGCAGCCACTGAAAAGAAAATGGAGAAGAAAGGAAACAGGAGAGGAGCTAGGGGCTGGCGTCTTGTCTTACCCCCTCCACCCTCCAGAACTAATCCCGTGGCCTTGGGCTGAGCAGGTGGGCAGGCAGCTGCTCCTGCCCCCGAATTCCTCCTGCAGCCTGTCTGGGGTTGGAGCGGAGCTGACTGTCTACCAGTCCCTCCTCTGCGTGGTTGTTCACGGAGGGAAATGTCACAGAGATGTGGGCTTACAGCTCAGATATTTCTTGGACATCCGGGCCAATAGCTCCCTTCTATGGCTGTGAAATGAGGTTGAATGTGATCATGGTCCAGCAGCTGCACTGACGGTTCAGGGCAGTGCCTGCCCAGGGTATGGTGACCATACAGGCCTGGTGGGCACTGGGCTCTTCAGTCTTGAGATCCCGTGCTGCAGCATGGATCTGACTCACAGTTTTATCTCAGAGAATCTTTGTGTTTTGAATAACATGGCAGATTCCCAGATTGGAGCTGGGTTGGCCCATGGTGAACATCTGGACCTGAAGTCATCCTCCAAAAGAAACCAGGACTGTGGGATGTGCTTGTTTACACTGTCCAGCACTCCGCCCCCAACACTCCTGTCTGTAAAAGTTTCCTTCTACTCCTGATTCAGAAACATCCAGAGTACAAACAAGACCCTGTTGCTCTGCATAGCCCGGGCCATTGGTACCTGGGTGACATGGACATGCACCCTTTTCATACACATAGGTGAAGTGAAATAAAGGGACTTTACCCGGATATTATTGAGGTTAACTTCTTCAAGATCCGGGTCATTGTTCTTTATCCGCTCCAGTGTTTCTTCTACATCTGTTGAATTTGGTTCCTCATCAGGCACAGGCTTGTACTGTGTAGGTTTAATCACACCTAGGGTGATTAACAAAATACAAGAACATTTTGAAAGGAAGTGTAGGTAGAGTTTAGGTCCATGGGAAGGCTGCATATGGCAGGAGCTACCCAGGGTGCCATGCGTCAAAGGAAGCCCACCAAGGGAGCCAGGAGGTTTGGCCCTCTTTGGCAGCTGCCTTTGGCTTCCTGCAAACTTAAACTCCCTTGATTCCTTAAACTCTCTGAACCTCAAGCTTTCACCTATAAAGTAAGGATACTCATTCCACCTGTGCTCACTATTTCAGTGGGCTCTTGTGAGGATAAGGTGAATCCCCAGGTGGGAAAGAAATGCATATATCTTGTAACAGGAAGAACGGTTACTCTTTGGGCCCGCTTCTCACTGGGGCCGAAAGAGCAGCTTGGAACAATGCAGTGGCATAAAGACAATGTGATATCAGCCCAGGAAAAGACAAAGGGGGTTGTGGAACAGTAGAACAGAAGAGGAATGCAAAAAGTGATGATAAAGGAGGCAATTTAGACCAGTGGTAATAGGATATATTTGCACAGAATGCTGTGGGACAACTGTCTCTATTTAAAAAAAGAATCTACTCTCCTCGCACAGCACACCCAAACATGGGCTGCAGGTGGATTAAGAAGTGGAATATATGAAGTAAACCTCTAAAACTTTTAGAAGAAAATACAGAATTATGATACTCAGATGAAGAAAATAAGCAAAATACAAAATCCCAGAAAAATCAGAGGGAAAAATGGACATTTGATTACTTAAAATTTTAGAACTTCTGTAATGAGCCAGTGCATAGCAAGCAGAGAAAATAAGACACAGGGGGACAAGCCTGTCTTCCAAGGTACCCTTGTGAGCCAGCTGTGGGGCCTGGCAAAGGGTGGGATGCCAGGAAGCCAGGGCCTGGTACTCACTGTTGAGTCCTTCCTTGTTCACGATGGAGCTGCTGCCCAAGGCCTGGTAGTACTGCTGGTTGCTCATGAGCGTGTGCATGCCCAGAATAGCTGCGGGGACACAAGAAGGCTAATTAATGACTCTGCTCTTGAAGACAGAGGTGTCTTCTGGGGACTCACCTTCCACATCCCTAGAACTTTGCTCACAGAAATGGCAAGAAGCATTTACATGAATACTTTCAAATGTGAGATCTCCATCCATTCTGGACTTCTTTTGGTGCTGACCTCATATTCCCAGGTCCCCCTGAGATCCCACTGGCATGTTCCACCCAACGTGGCCGAACAGAAGAAAGCTTTTACAGCAGCGGCCTGATGCTATGCGCCCCCTCTTCCCTCTAGACACCCTCTCCCAAGCCATTCAGCATCCCTAGGTCTCTCACATTGCTGACCTCCCACGCCATCGCTTCTGTTCTGGTTGAAGTCCTCTCATTTCTTGGCTGAACAGATGCTTCCTGACTTACAATGGTTCTACTTACGATTTTTGACTTTATGATAAGGTGAAAGTGATATTCATTCAGTAGAAAACATACTCTGAATTTTGATCTTTTCCCAGGCTAGCTATATTCAGTAAAATACTCTTTTGAGATGCTGGACAGTGGTAGTGAGCCACAGCTCCCAGTAAACCCCACGATCATGAGCAAAGATAACAGATACTCTACAGTGTACTGTATTTCTGAGCTATGGTGTTTGAAAGGCTAGGGTATAAAATGAATATTGAATCAATATTTTCAACTTACAATGGGGTTATCAGCAAACCACTGCATCGTCAGTCAATGAGTATCCGTATTATCACAACTTTGGAGTAACTGGTGTCCTAGTTTCCATCTCTTCTTACCTTCTACCTCCCAAAATTCAGCACACAGCAACCAGAAGGACCTTTCTGGAAATGCTAATATGGCCTCATCATTCCATGCTCAGCCATTCTTTCACCTGTTCATTTACTGAGGGTCCCCAGTGTGTCCCTGGATGTGGGAGGGAAGGGGCCAGAGGAGAAGGAGAGAGACAAGACCTTTGCTTATGCAGTCTGGGGGGCGGGGGAGGAGGGCTAGGCAAGTGCCCACAGCACTAAAAACATAAGCATAGGGTACAGTGGTGTTGGAAAGGAAAGCTCAGTGTATTCTGGCTGGGAGAATACAGAAGAGATACTGTACTTTGGAGAGAAGGGTGATTAGTCAAGAGAAGTGAGCTAGGCATGGCAGGTGGGTGAAGTTGTGGGGGAAGGCCGGTCATATCAGAAGACAAGAGATGGATATGTGGTACTGATGACAGTAGTGGTCAAATACCCTCTAGTCCTGGAATTCATGCTCTGAGCAGGAAAGAAGCTTTAGATCAGTGACTCTCAATTTGATTGCACAATGAAACACTCGGGCATCTTTTGAAACTTCTTATGTGCAAAGCTGCCCTGGACGAATTAACCTAAAGTCTTTGGGGTGGGTGGGGTGGGGTGTAGGCATCTGCATTTTTTAAAGCTCCTCGGGGAGTTTCAATGGGCAGCTGAGGCTTAGAACCACTGCCTCACATGTCCTTCCTTAATCTGCACAACCACCCTCCAGATTGTACCACAAGGCAAGGTCAGATCCTACAGAGTCTCCTGTGATGAAGAAGTTTTGGTATCTTTTCCCAGGCTTAGCCTGTGAAGCCATTGAAGATGTGAGCAGGGAGTGAGGTGGTCTGAGTTCTGGCTGCGTTTGGAGAACTCACTATGGAGGGATGCAGGTTCAGGAACCATAGGGCTGTTACAGCTGTCCTGATGGGAGGAGGGTGGCTTATGATGGCCAGGTTCAAACCCCAGAGCCTGGCTTCCCCTGCTCTCCCTGTTTCAACAGCCTTGTCTCTCACCCACGTTCCTCCTTCTCTGGCTACACAAATCATCAGTGCTCAGAGATTCCCTTACCTATGCCAATGCGGTCCCTTCTGTGGGTGATTTTCCATACCCAGTTGGAATTTCAGATAGACACCTCAAAATATTAGTACAAGTATGTCCCATTCAATATTTGGGATATATTTATATCAAAAAGTTGTCATTGTTTATATAAAATTCAACCAGACATCCTGTATTTTATTTAAACAACCTAGCTTCCCCTCCTTCAAGACTTCGAGTAAACCTTCCTTCAACAGGGAGCCTTCTGAGACTTTTCCTTGTCCCTTTCCGTTTCTCCCACAGCCTGGTGTTCTTATTACAGCACAGAGCACCTGGTGTGAGAGTGATCTACATACATGTGTACTTCCTCTGCTGGGCTGTAGGCTTCCAGATGTCTGGGAAGAATATTATTTATCTCTCTTCCACCTCTTCCAGAATAAATCATGTGTTTGGTATTTGGTGACGATTTTTTTTAAGTCCCCAAGCCATCTCATTAGGTATTTCACTAGGTACCAGTTAGAGAAATAACACAAGAGCGCTCATGAAGAGCCTGAGGACCCAAGTTCTAGTCCTCACTATGTCCCAGTGTGACCTTGGGCATGTCCTCTTCTCCCTTTGGGCTTCAGCCTCCTCGACCCTACCAGGAGGTAAGATGAGAACAGTGACTCTCAATCGTGGCCATCCATGCAAACCACTCAGGGAGCCTGCTCTACCCTGGACTAACCTGGGCAGGTCTTTGAGAGACGGGTTTTTACTTCCTTGGGTGATTTTGATGATGCATGGGAGCCGAGAACTGCAAGATGAGATGATCTCAAAGTCCCTGCTGCTTCTCACATCCCAAGAGTCTTTGCTAAAATTAGGCTTGCCTGTTCATCACTACAGGGAGAGAGGCATCTGCGGCTTTTCGAGCCCTCCAGGTTTTAATTTAGGCTGTGTGGACGTGGGCAGCCAGAACAGAGACCTGAGTCAGCGGCAGGTGAGTCAGATCATCAAGTCACCTTCCGGAGCTGACACTCCCGGCTCCCACGCACAGCAATTCACAGTGCTTCTGGGTTGCTGGATTTTCAGGTGTGAAAACAGAATTTGGAAAGATTGCTGGAATTATGTGAAAGATGTAACCTCCTATGGCTGCTGGTCTCACTTTAAGTGTATCACACAACCATTTCTCATGTTTTTGTCCTCTTTGATTTTTTTACAATAAACATTTAAGGCAAGTGCCTGACTCATTTTCTAGGGAAATGGTTTATGAAAACCTTTTGGAAAGGACTCTCCTGGTTTCTAAGTTAGTATTCCATCTACAGGTCACTAGTAGTTCTATAGTTCTAACCTATCCCCTCAACTTGGGAATTCGAGGACCAATTAGAAGTGTTTTTGGAGGTGATATATGTCAACAGCAGGCCTAAGAAGAATAAAACCATTTGGCAGCTCAGAGGAAATTAGGGCTCTCCAAAGAATGAAGGAAGGAAGGAAAGGAGGGAGGAAGGAAGGAAGGAAGGAAGGAAGGAAGGAAGGAAGGAAAGGGAGAGGGAGGGAACGAGGGACGGGGCGGGGAGGGAAGGAGTGGCTGAGGTCAACTGCCATTTTTGAGCTCAGTGCCTAGTGTGTCTGAGGCTAGCATCACCTTCGGCCAGTCCTAGGCACAGCACTGTGACGGTCTCCCTCTCTTGGTTCTGTTGCTCCATGCACCAGGAGTGAGCAATGGAAGAAAACAATACAGCCAATTGCCGGCTGCTTCTTTCTTTGTAGATATTGGCAAGGCTGAATTTAGCACTGGAGAACTTGATTTTTTTTTTTAAAGTCTAGATCTTCCTCAAAACTCAAAAAGGACTATTTTTGAACTCTGAAAAAGAACACTGAGTTCTGCTTCCTTTCTCTGCCTTGGCAGAGCTCACTCCGTTTGTAATTCCACTCGGGACGCAGGGCGATAACAGAATATATCCCCAGCTTCTCCAGCTGCCGACAGCTTGGGTAGGCGCTGGGCAGGTAGCTGCAAGGTGTGTTCCCGCACCCTGGGGCAGGTGGGAGGAGCTGGCTGCAGCCCAGGACTTGGGTGCTGTGGAACTGCTTCTGGATAAGCTGTACCCTAGCAGTTGTAGAATGGGAGGACAGGTGTCAAAGGGCATGAAAATAACCAGGACTTAGGCTAGGACTGCTGAGAGTCAAAAGAGCTGGCTAGCCAACTGGCCTAGGGGATGGGTGGCCTGGGGGTGCTTCTCTGAAGGATGAGTCTTCCCATCCCACTTCCTTGTTGGACCCTGCCTCACTGGAGAGGTCCTTAAAGGCCAGCCAGGACTGCAACCAAGGGCAATGAAAATTCCAAGTACTTACAGCTGACTCTCAGCAGCCCCTGAGCTAAAGCCATGGCCACATGCCAAGACGGTCAGGTTCCCACGAACTCTGCTCAGCACCTTGTGGGGGCATTTTAATACTGAAATCTGTTTGCTTCTGGTGTGTCCTTCTTATCACTTCCTGGACCCCCAAGGACACAGACTGGATCTGAGGTATCCTAGTATACAGTAGGAATTCCATAACGTACAATGACTCAAGGAGTGAATGAATGAATGAATGCATAAATGGTGCATCTTACCTGGGTCACACTTGAGTCAGTGTGGCACATCTTCCAGTGTCCTCCTCCAGGTTTCTACTGTCACCAGACATCAAGCCTGCTACACACAGCAGCAAGACACCTCAGAAGGACCTGTCTCTTGCTCAGCCTGGAGCAGAGCCACTGTCCTGCACTGCCCCCATTCTGGACCCTTCTCCTTAGCTTTCTCTAGCTCACCTCTACTCACCCCCCTTAGGTCCCACTTCTGTATCTCTTCCCTCACCTTCCCCATCTCTTCCCCTAGTGTTCCTCTTAAACCCCATTCTCTTTCTCTCCTTTGTCATTTCACATTTGCTTAGACTGGCTCCACCTGAGGGCAGGAATCAGCAGTTTTCTTGGGATTCTTTCACCAGGACCTAGTATAGAGCCTTGCACACAGTGTATAGGAAGCCCTGGGTAAAGCCCAGACTATGTGCATGAGAGACCAGTGAAGGCCAAGTTGATGGTAACGCCCTGCCTGGGAGCTGAGCAAGTAGACTACAGGTATCTGGAGACCCCTGTCCTCCTCTCCCTGCTTCTCCTCCTCTGGTTAGCTATCCACACTCATGGCCACAGCCCCTCCTTGAGAAAGGCCCCACAGCCCCACCCCCATTCTCTGGAGGGCTTGCCACCCCCAGCCCCTTTGGCAGTCCCATCTCATGTGGAGACACTGAGGTAAACCCACACAGGGCTGCTCCCCTTACTAACATGTGAGGCCACAGGGCCTAGCATCATCTGGGCCCCTTGACAGATGACTTCGCCCTAGGACCCAGCTGATACCTTGGAAAATGGGAACAATAATGGAATTTTCCCGATAGAACTGATGTGGTCATTTAGTGCAACAGGCACTGAGAACAACTCACACGGCACCTGGGTCACGGCTGGTGCTCCGCAAATGTTCCCTGCTTCCTTCCCCAGGGGCACTGCCACCTTTCAATGACTGATATCAAAGAACAGGCATCCAGGAACAGCCTGCTAACACTGGGACAGGCTCAGCGCCCCACTCCTTCCCAGACATCAGAAGGGCACGGTATCGTGGACAGATAATAACAACCAGCTTGCCAACAAAAATGAAAAGAAATGATTTCAAAAAGCAATGCAGACAGAGCCTTAGCTCAGTGTCACAGCTCTGTTTTGGCTCAGAGGCTGGCAGGAGCCATGGTTCTGACAGTAGTCATTTGATAATCCCCCGGAGCTGCCTAATGAGGGGAGTGATGTCACGCAGGGTGATCGCAGGAGAGAGCCCAGGATAAAAACAGCTCCGCAGTGAGTCAGTGTGGAGACGTGGGGTGGCAGCCTCAGTCTTCCTTGCTGCACAAATTACCCTGAAGTCAAGGGGACCGCCATCTACGGTGGGTTTGTGGAACCAGATGAACAGAATGTCGGCTCTCGTATGACTCATGTGGCTTCTGACAAAACACATCCTTGACCGTAAAGCAACCTGGCCTCCTGAGTTTGGTGTTCAGGCCCACATGAGTGAGGTGGGCACTGCTTCTGTGCTTCACGGGAGGAACAGAGACCTTTCCTCACAGCTGCCCTTTGTCTTTCCCTACACCTCATATCTCTCGGGGCAGGGGTTGTCTGGATGTGGGCTACTCACTTGCTCTTCCTGTTCACTTCTTGGGTTCCCATTTGCTGTGGCCACCACTGTACAGGGTACTCTTGGGACATAGTTGAATCACTGCCCCTTGTTCCATGGCCCTGCTACAGATGAGTGCCATCCCCCTGTCCCAAACATCCCAACACTGGGGCCACGCTAGGCTTCCATGAGAGGCCAAGAGGTTGGTGGATGTGATGAGCAGATCGCCTGGGCTCCGGCTTCAGTGCCTCCAAGTCTCCCCACCAACCTGGAAGCCTCACTCCGCCTCCTGAGTTCTTGGATCAGGTCTGCCTATCTTGATTTGGTCTTTGGTTTCAGCCCATCAGTGGCTAACTGGCCTCATTGCTAGCTTTGCCCCTTTTCCATGACCTGCCCCCATGAAAGATTCCTATTGTAGACTGGCACTGCCCTCCAGAGCCCAAGTCCCAGTATGTGGCCTTCCCCAAGCTTGGTAATGCTAATCATGTGCACATCTCTATCCTGAACTCCAGACCTTCACGCACAACCGTCTCCACAGACCTACAATCAAACTCTGGGGCAGGGAGTCTTACGGCAGCAAGTGGCTCTGTGGGAGGGTGGTCTTGGATGCTTGTATCTTTATTTTCCTCAGTTTGGATTAATTTTCCTCATAATGGATTTTTACCTCAGCATTGTTGGTCTCTTGTTAGAAACAGGATATACATATTCTATGGACCAAACAAGCTTCCCTACAGATGTGGGTCAAACCTCTGCAAGACAAGGGGAAGCTGCTGGAGCGCCTCTTACCTGCGATGTCACAGAGTTCTGCATCTGAGGCATTTGCCAAGGCCTCCTCCAGCTCCGGCTCTAGTGTGACAGTTTCCAGCACAGGATCCATTGGCTTCTGCTTAGGGACCCAGATTTTTCCTGTAAGCACATGGGGCCTATCAGGGAAACGTTTCCCTACGATGGGAAACCTCTGGCGGTGGACCACAGCCTCTGTGGTCTGTCCTCCCTGTGGACAGTCCCTCTGGGGACCAACTTTCCCACAGAATGGGAATTAGGGATCTAACTTAGCACCCCTTCTTAAGAAGGATTTTATAACCTGGCCTAAATATATTACTATCTACTGAAAACAATGGCCAACCACTAGGTAGGGAAAAATACAAAGGAAAATATAATAGAATGCCAGGCGGGGCCTGGGATACCTTAGCCAATGGTTCTAATATGGGAGAAAAACTTGTAAACATTTCTAAATAAAATAAATAAAACACACTCAGATTATTAAAAGACAAAAAAGGAACAAAAATGTTTTCTTGCCTCATGGGACATTCTATTTTTAAAGTGTCAGGCTCATAACAGACTGAGGGAGTAAATTGGCAGGCAAGAGGATGGTCACCGTGTGTCCACCAGGAGGGACTGTTCAAGAAGTTATGCTGTAGCCCCCACTTCCCCATGGGATTCCAGCAGTTATTACGCAGGATGATGGAGGGTGCTACTTCTTAGGAAGGAAAATGCCCAAGATCAATGTTGTGTGAAAAAGCAAGTTTACAAAACTTCATGAACAATTTCATTCGTTTATGAGAAACTGAATGTATGCTGTGGTTTGTCCACTGTTCCCTAGAGCTTAAGTGTTAGAAACTGAATTCTAAATTCATGTGTCAATGGTATGTATGTGGGGATGGGGCCTTGGGGAGGTAATTGGGACTGAATAAAGTCATTAGGGTGGGGTCTAGCATTGGTGACTTTATAAGAAGAGGAAGAGACATGTACTGAGTGCTTCTTTTGTGCCAGGCCCTAAGATCAGGGACGAGACAGGATACTCACGTTACTGCTGCTATTCAGCATTGCACTGTGAGTTCTAGTCAAAGTGAACAGACAAGGAAAAGGAATAGACGGAAAAGAAGTATAATTATTTCTGTTTGCAAATGACATGCTCTTATATGGACAAAACTGAATTTCCACATAGAAAAAAAATCTGTTAGAACTAATAAATGCAGCAATTTTGTAGGGTTTAAGATCAACACACAAAAATAAACCATGTCTCTGTGTACCAGCGATGAACAATCTGAAAAGGAAATCAGGAAAACATTGCATTTACAATAGTATCCAAAGTAATCAAAGACTTGAGAATAAATTTGAAAGATTTGTACACTGAAAACTATGAAACTTGGCTGAAAAAAATTGACGATGATCTAAAGAAATGCAAAACAAAGAATTCATAAATTAATATTATTAAAATGACAATACTATCCAGAGCAACCTACAAACTCAGTGTAATCCTTCTCTAAATCCCAACTGACATTTTTTGCAGAAAAAGAAAAGCCCATCCTTGAATTTAATATGCAGTAGCAAGAGGCCACAAATAGACAAAAAATCTTTAACAAAATTAGAAGACTCATACTTATTGAGTTTAAAATTTAACTTAGTGGTGTGGTACTGGCATAAGAACAGACATATAGGCAGTGGAATAGGATTGAAAGCCCAGAAACAAAGCTAAACATCAATGGCATACTGATTTCAACGACTGCCAAGTTCATTCGATGACAAAGAATGATCTCTTCAATAACTGCTAGCACAACTGGATATTCACATACAAAAGAATGACTTTTCACTTTTCCATAAAACCTGGGTAAGTTCCAATTCCAGGACACTGGGTGGCTCAAACCTTTTCTCACAATGTCCCCTTCTGTATGTCTTTTTATTTTATTATTTATTCAGCAGCCACTCGGTGCAGGGCACTGTGCTAATGCAACACGGATAGAGGTGACAGACACAGACGTAGAACCTGGCTTGCCCTGCTTACATTCTTGGAGGTGGGGAGATGGAAGGGACTGGAAAGAGACAAGTAATTACAGCATTCATCAGTTAAAATGAATACTTTCACTTAACATATATTTATTAAGTGCCTTCTATGTATGAGGGCATAGAAAGTGGGCAGATATAATGCTAAACAAGGTATATACAGTTCTTACAGTCATGGAGTTTGTGTTCCAAGGAAGTAACCCACAGATGCATTAAACATTTACTTACTTTACCTCATTTATTCATCAACAACTGTCTGCTTGGCCCTACTGCATACCAGGCCCTGTGCTGGCTAGGTGCTCAGGATACCATGTGATCAAAAATAGTCCAAGTCCCTGCCCTCAGGAAGCTTATGAGCTAGTGAGAAAGAAAGCTAATAAATAAAGAGATAGCTAATAAATAAAGAGATACAGATAATATGTGAATATGGAGGACACACGCAGGCTCCCCGGGTGGAAAATAACCAAGAAAGAGCTGCAGGGGAACTGTGCATGCTTGCAGACTAGACAGGGAGGCGTCCCTAAGAGAGAAGGCAGCACAGCTGAGACCTAAAGAATAATAACAGCTAGTGCTTACACAGCTTTCACTGCACCACAGATACGCTGCTAAGAGGTTTATATATATATCCTCATGCACTTAATTCTCATAACAACCTCTGGAGGTTGGTAATATTATTTCTAACACCCTCATTTTATGGAGGAGGAAATGGAGGTGATTTTCTTGAGCTCACACAGCTAGCAAGTAGTGGAGCCTGGACTACAATCACAGGCCTAGCTCCAGGTTGTGTTTCCATGATACTGCTGAAGAGGAGGAAGACATAGCCACAAGGACATCATGGAGCTGGCAGCAGGGCCAGTGTTCCAGACCTAGGGGTATGTGCAAATGTCTTAAGGTGGAAAAGCACTTGGAAAGTTTGAGGAACAGAACTCAAACTTGTGTTCTCTCCTACTTGCTGCCCTTGTGCCTGTGGGCAAGAATGACACGAGAGAAGGGTAGAATGGCTTGGAGGGCACTGGCGGCCTGAAAGGGCGAACAGTAGGGCAGTATCTCTCTGCTCCCCTGGGCACTGCAGGACAGCTTGTCTTAGGCTGGAGCAGAGTCTTGCAGGGATGTTGCAACTGTCAGAAAGAAACTTTGGAGAAAGAGCAGAGAGAGAGTAGGAAAAGTTAGGGTGATGCCTCTTGCTTCTCATTTGCATAAGATCGTCCTTGTTGGGGCCTTGTATCCTGATATCATTATCTATAGATCCTTCTTTCACTGGCAAAAGTGTTAAGGTTTGAATGAAAAATAATCAGGGCAACCCAGTCAAAGGAGATTCAAGGAAAGATCTTGCTGTTCTGGATGGATCTTTCCTTAGTCTATTCCCAAACTTAAACTACTGCATGCATCACTACTTTTGGGGTTGGGATTTTGTTTCTTGGCCAGACAGGGATGAAGACAAGGAGCTCCCCCACACACTTGGCCCCACTCAGGGACTGGCACACAGGTGGCCCTCAGCCATGCCTGGAGAATGACATGTTCACAAGAGCAACATCATTCAGTACCTCGTTTCTCCCCTGTGTAGGGGACCAGGTCTTCTCGGTCCTTAAACTCCTTTGCTTGCTTTTCCAAGTGATCCAAGAGCTCCTCCCTTTTAAAGGGGCCTGTGGGCGCCTTGGTGGTCTGATCCTTCTGCCTCAGGCCTGCAGGCAGCAGTGCATTCTACGATGGACGTTGTTGGGGGCAGGAGGAAGAGGAGGAGGAGAGAGAGAGAAAGAGAGAGAAAGAGAGAGAGAGAGTGGTCAGCTGAAGAAGGCTTGCAATTCAGAAACTCATCATTGACTAGCAGGGACCTCAGAGCTATGGAATCCATCCAAGTCCCTCCTATTACATGCAAAGAATCGAAAAGTCCAAAATGGACAGGGGCTGTCCCAAGGTCACAGAGCAGACAAGGAGCAGGTGTTCTTGCCTCTAATGTTTTAAAGGCAAGGGATCAAGGGAGGCTGGCAGAGGCAGAGCACGGAGGGCACTTGAAACAACTGCTGAGAGGTAGACGCGATTAAGCTGGTGTTCAGAGGCCCAAAGATATTTATAGCAGTTGTGTATCAAGAGGTTGGAGAAAGAAGCTAAAGGGAGCTGAGGCAGGGCCTTGGATGGAGAATCACCACATGAAGAGGCAGAAGCCCCCTCCCCAAATCAGGAGAAAGGCCCACCACAACCGCCAGGTGGGCAAGGCGCTCTGGCAGCAGCCCCTATGGCTGCCTTCTAGCCTGCGATGTGTCTGTTCTCAGGGCACTCTGGCTGTTAAATATTTTGAACGTTGCCCCTGGAGATGGGTCTCTCAAGAAAGATAGCATCCACCAATTGTTGCGATCTCTTCTTCAAACATGGGCAGGCTACTAGGTGTGGGTTTGCTACTAACACAATTTCCTAGTGAGGGTGGTTTTCAGTCACCCAATGAACTTCCCTCTAACTCAGCTCCCAGAACCTTCAAGAGCCAAAGCTATGAGGATGTTTAGAGATCGTCTAATGTATACATCTTCCCTTCGAAGAGAAACTGAGGCTCAGAGCAAGAAAAGACTCGCCCGAGGAATTTCAGAGAAAAAAACCAGGGTCCCTCCTCAGATTTGGGGAAGAGGGAATCTTCGTCTCTACTCTTTGTGCTCCTCCTGTCCCAGGCACTTGGAGAACTACAGCAGCAGCATACCGGCAGGTACACAACTTCTTGCTGTACCCTCAAATTGGCTAAATGGGAGAGTCATTCTATCTCAAATCTTGATAGCACCAAAATGCCTATGTTCCATCATTCCCACTCTCCCCAAACCCTCTTCTACAGACCCCTTGGAGAGGGAAAAGAGGCATATGGAGACGGCTGTGTGCCTGGCGCCCTGAGGCATGAAGCCAGGGAGGGAGACAGGACTAGTCAGTGAGTGTGGGATTCTTGTGAGATGTTTTCCCATTGTCTAACCCTACACTGCTACTTAAGGAACAGTAGTGGCTGCAAATGGGGAAAGTGGGGCATGACCCACCTTGGGGAGGGCTGTTGGTGACCAGGGCCCACAAAGTGCAAGGTCAAGGTAAGGGGCTTGAGGTCTGGTGCTGGAATATGCGAAGTGTGATTAGGGCCCCAGTCAGGACAGACATTTGAGAACTGGAGCATTCAATGAGAAGATAGGAGAAAATCAAGTCTTGACTGATTCGGGGTTGAGTACAAGGAATGCAAGTGAAGCCTGGCACACGCCAACTTTCCTTAAGCTGTTGTCCACCATGACAGGTAGACCAGGACGGTGATGCTCCTGGATGAGTCACGCTTCTGTGGACAAAGTTAGACGACGCTGGCTGTATGTGTTCTTCCTTCTCTGCCATTGCAGAGCACTTGGTACGGCACAAGTAAATGAAAGCTTACCTCACTGCCCTGCAAATGCGTGGACGTGATTACAGGACCCACAGTGAATACTCCAGCCTCTCTGTGACATGACTGCACGTCACAGCTGACCCTGCATTAGCCTAAGCCTCAACATGGAGTAATAATGATACAGCTATCTGATCTTGGACAAGTCCCCTAATATGGTGCGGTAGGTTCCATGGCGGTAAAATGTGAATGAAGATAGTCACTTTCTTATAGACTTTTGAGGAAATTAAGTTAGAGAACTCAGGAAGAGGGCTCAGCCCCGTGCCTGCTGTAGTGAACACCAAGAATAATGACTCCTCATTACTGCTGTTACATAACCAGATAAAACGCACTTAAACAAGAGACTGGCTGCCCAGAGACGTAGGTAATAGGGAATACATTATCCAAATATATTTTAAAATTTACAAAACCCAAATGCACAAATACACAATGAATTAAATCCTGAAAACAAGTGCTTCTGTTTTCTCAAGGGGCCCCTCAAGGGAATGCCCAAGATTTTTGTCACCATAGAGGGTTTTGATGGCACTAAGGGGCTGGGGCACATTCTGGCCCCTAAAAGGCTCAGTACTGTGATGAAAGAAATCCGTGGCATTGCTTCTGGAATCTAGCTGGTAGAGGCGATTGATTTAGATAAAGCTGGACTTCCCAGCTTCAGCACAAGTGGCGTCTTGTGCTGGACATGTCCTTGTGGGGGCTGTGCTGAGCACTGTAGGATATTAGCAGCCTCTCTGGTCTCTACCTCATAGATTCTAGTAGCACCATCTCCCCAGTTGTGGCAACCAAAAATGTCCCTAAATGCTGCCAAATGTCCTCTGAGGAGGAAGGTCACCCCTGACTGTGAACTAACGCATTGAACAAAAGCCACGTAAGTATAATAGGGAACTAAAGAAGTGTCTAATGTATTTAAAAAATGTTACTTACATAACATTTAAGATACACCTTTTATTTACAATTTGTTGAAACAAGTTAATCTTTGATAATACAAAAATATGAAAACTTTTTTTTTTCTACAAGGAATCAAATTCAGGACCTCACACTTGCCAGGCAGCGCTGTGCCACTGAGCTATACCCTGGGCCTGAAAAGTGTTTTTTGACAACTTGTAGTTCAGCAGCTTTTAAAAGTAAATATTGAGCATGTCAGGCTCATTAGGAGCCAGAGATTATTTTCTTTCCATTAAATGGTATATTAATGAAATCTTACATCATTCTCAATTAAAATCAAAGAATTTGCCTATTTTAAAAATTTCTTATTCCTACTGTAACTTGTTTTCAAAAACAGCATGTGATCTCACAAATATATAAATTTTAGCTCAAAATGGATCAAAGACCTAAACATAACAGCTACAAGTATGAAATTCTTAGAAGAAAGCACGTGCATAAATCATAGTGACTCTGCAGAATAAAGTGGTTTCTTAGATATAACACAAAAACAATAAGCAACAAAAGAAAAAATAGATGCATTGGACTTCATCATAATTAAAAACATCTGTGCTTCAAAGGACACTAGTGAAGAGACAGATTGGAAGAAAACATAGTATTTTAAATGGTACAGATAAGAGTGTAGTATCCAGAATACATAAATATCACTTATGACTCCATAAGGTAAATAACCCCATTTGAAAATGGGCAAAGGATCTGAACAGATATTTCTCCAAAGAACAAATAAAAATGTCCCATAAGCACAAGAAAAACTACTCAGCATTGCTAACTATAAGGGAAGTGCAAGTGGAACCCAAAGTGAGAGATGCCTCCCAGCCACTAGGAGGCCATCATAAAAAGCATAGATATTGCCTAGGGTGGGCAAGAATGTGGAGGAACTGGGACTTTCATACACTGCTGAGAAGGATGTAAAATGATACGGACCCTTTGGGGGATAGAGTCCATCAGGTTCTTAAAAAGCTCAACATAGATTTCCCGCATGACTTGGAAATTGCTCTTGCAGGTAAAGCAAAATTAAAAACATATATTCCCATGCCTGGGATTACAGGCATGTGCCACTGCACTTAGCTTGTTACATGAATTCTCAGAGCAGCATTACTCATAATGGCCCAAGGTATAAGCGAATCAAATGTCCATCAACTGGTGAATGGATGAACAAAATGTGGCAGAGTCACACAAATGAATATTACTCAGCCATTAAAAGGAACAAAGAACTACAACATTAATGAACCTTGAAAACATTGTAAGTGAAAGGAACCAGATACAAATGGCCACGTATAATATGATTCTATTTATAAGAAACAGAAAGGTAAAATCTGCAGAGACAGAAAGTAGATTAGTAGTTGCCTGGGGCTGCTGCTACGGACTCAACTGTGTCATCCTCACCCCCTTTCGCATCCTAAAGCCCTAATCCCAGTGTGACTGTATTTGGAGACAGGGCCCATAAGGAGGTAGTTCAGGATAAATGAGGTCATTAAAATAGAGCCCTGAGCCCATAGGGTTAGTGTTCTTAAAAGTTTGCTGAACAGCATCCTCCTCCCAACCACCTGCCATGAGAGGACAGTCAAAAGGCAGCCACCAGTGAGAACCCAGGAAGATGTCCTCTGCCAGAAGCTAACCTTGCCAGGCCCTGATCTGGGACTTTCCACACTCCAGAGCTGTGAGAAAGTAAGTTTCTAATGGTTAAGACACCCAGTGTGTGGCATTTTATTATAGCCGCAGCCTGAAATTACTAATACAGTTGGGAAAGATGGGAGGGGAAGTGATAGGCAATGGGTGTAAATCCCCCACCTCACTGCAATACTGGGGATTGAACTCAAGGCTTCCTACATAGTAGGCAGGGGTCCTACCGCTGATCTACACCCTCAGCCCTTTTTGGTTTTTATTTTGAGACAAGTCTTATTAAGTTCCCCAGGCTGGTCTCGAACTCATGATCCTCCTACCTGAACTTCCCATGTAGTTGGGATTACAGGCATGTGCCACTGTACTTAGCTCATTGTCCTAATCTTAAAATGTGCAAAAGATGAATCCACTGGACAAGCACTTTCTATACAATGAGTTCAAAGGGACAGGTCAACCTGGTTCTGTCAGAGTAGTCATCTTCTGCTTTAGGAGAGTCATAAGCATGGGCTTTTGTCACACGTCACCCTTACCACAAAGATAGGTTGGTTGTGATTTGGGAAAGAGCTTTGCATATAAAACTCAGAAAATCTTCGTATCCTTACACACAACTGGAAATTTACTTCTAGGGGGAGGACAGAGACTTATGTCCAGCTGATCTCATTATCTGACAGAAAAATGAGTGTTTTAAGGAGCAGGTATATCTGATCATCTCTGATCTTAGCCTAAAATTATAGCTGTCAGACACTAG